GGGATTATTCCAGGAAGCTTTTGATCACAACTTGTTTGTGTGTAAGACTGCAGCAAATCTAATTCTAATCTATACAGCACAAAACCACAACAACAGTTGCCTCAAGGTGATTTTATATTGTAAGGTAAAGACCCTACAATAATACAAAGAAAACAGAGAAAATCCCATCAATTATATGATCCCCAACATTAATACGAGCAAGCGTTTTTGGCGACAGTGGGAAGGAAAACTCCCTTTTAACAGGAAGAAACCTCCAGCAGGACCAGGCTCAGGGAGGGGCTGGGCCATCTGCTGTGACCGGTTGGGGTGAGAGAAGGAAGACAGGATAAAAGACGTGCTGTGGAAGAGAGCCAAAGAAATCTAATACTACTTATTTGGAATGATGATACACATATGGGGGAGACTTTAAAAAAAATGGATGTCGTGAATAGCCAATAAATCTCATCAAATGGGTCCACATTTGACTTCTTCTGTTGCTCAAAGGACCAAATTTCAAGCAGAACTCTTCGAAATGACATTCATTTTCTTCTTATTATAAAGAATTTTTCATTTTGCCTACCTCTCTGATATCCTGGTGAAAAGCAAGCAAGCTGATCTGAAAGGTGTTTACCATTAAAAACTGAAAGCGCAAGCCTCAATATAAAAACACTGACTTGCTTTGATGGCAAGCAGTAGTTTATTTATATGCATGTGCTAATCTGTGTAAGTGTGTGACTGGGGATAAAAACAGCTTCTCACTGACCAGTGAACTAAATTATTATATCAGCCGTTAAAGAACTGACCTTTTAAAGCACTTGGCTCTATTTGGCAGCCAATGAAAACACCTCTCTTCACTCATCTCTTTGGAGCTTGTTGATTTTATTTCCCCCTCTGTGACTGCCTTCTCTTGTGTAATCACACAAAAACAGGGGAAAGAGGAAAGATGGAAGGAGACTTAGGGGAAGAGAAAACATAGAAAAGTAATTAAAACAGAGTGCTGGAGAAAGAGGAGCGTGCTGGCCTATGACCGATAGATGCAGCCGCATTGAACCGAAAACCACGATGGGATTAACAGAGGTCTAATGCTCTAAGGATGCTGGGAAATGGCTTGGTCTTCTGTGTTTGTGTAGATTTGCACAAGTGTGTGTGTGTGTGTGTGTCCATGGAATGCTTCCGAAGAAACCTTTTTTGTTTTAGAAATTATTCAAGAGTGTGGATGTACAGACTTGTTTGTCAGTGTGACTGAAAAAAATGATACACTGCTAAGGAAAACAGGAAAAGCACTATAAGTAACACCTCATGTCTGTATCACTCAACTGAGCTAAATTAGGGTGTACTCACACAAGGCACGGTGCCCCCCCCAACAATGCACTTACACCGCCTGAATATCTGGGCCTGAATACGCTTAATTTTGTCTTTAGGTTTTCACACTCTTTCTTGGCTGGTCTTACCCTCTCCCTTCCCCTCCACACACACACACACACACACACACACACACACACACACACACACACACACACACACACGAAAAGCACTCTTGTAGAGCATAAGGGGGTTCATGATTTTATGCATTATGTGGCTTAACTGTGGAAGCAATAACACACACTGGCCTCTCACATACTAGCTAATTAATTAACAAAAGTGATTTCATGATGTCCATTACAATCACACTATATTTATACTGTGCCCACATCCAACTCAACTGTGCCTGGGCCTGCTTCTTGCAGGAGCCCAGAGCACAACACTTAGTAGTGATCACACTTAGCCAAACAAAGTGGACACTTGGGGGTCAAGAGTGCTCTGACATGGAAGTGTGAGTACACCCTTTCACTGGAAATTCATGTGTCTTGGCACGTACATAAAAACATAAGAAAGAGGCAGGACATATACACTGGTTGTTTTAAATAACTGGAGTCACAGAGAAGTTGATCTTTTGCATATAAAATGTCACTTTGCCATTATTTGTACACAATCATAATTAGCAAATAAATTATAATAAATGATAAGGTATGGCTAAAAACATATTATTTGAGTTCACAGCTGAACTTCACCTTTGACCACTAAATACTGCTCAGTTCAGCTCAGTTCAAGTGAATAAACTCAACCAAAATTTGAAGAAATTCCATCATAGTGTGGCTGAAAAGCTGCAGCCAGTGGATGCAAAATAAAATTCATAAATAGAAAAAGAAAAATTGAAAAAGCATTGCTAATAAATGAGAAAGAAGAAAAAAAGACAAAGAAAAGGATTTAACTTCTTCATAGAGTAGCTAAGAAGTAGATCAAGAGATCCATAATCTGAGACTGCAGAAACACTGACAAGGTTCACTTTGTCTTGCTCCCAAATCCTTTCCACTATACCTAGAGATGCTTGTAAGACATGCTTTTTGCAGAACTACTTATGACTTGATTGGCAGGAGGCAAAGTATGCAAAATTACAAAATAAATGCCAAGATCAACATTAAATAGAATTATAAAATACTAAAACTGTTTTGGTGTGAGTGTCAATTACTTATTGATTCACTAAAAATTCTTCAGTTCTTAACATTGATAATACTATGTACTTCACTTTTTTTTTTTATTTCTTCATGGCTAAAAATTAATCCTTGAAAAGTGTAAGTCATAGATTCATCTGTTTTATGGTTTATAGTCTACGTATGTATCCATGTATACACCGAACAGAAAAAGGATAAACGTATATTAAAAAGTGCTTCAATGAAACAATTCCACAAGCAAAACTGAGCTGAAAACAGTATCTTTAAAATGTGGTAGCTGATCTTTGGTCATTGTAAATTCCAGTTATTGATCAGGGTTAAAAACAGATGTGATGTGATATACTGGATTTTCTTGAAAAATGATTGCATTGTGCCTGCTAGCACTTTTGTCTTAAAGGAAATTATACTTTGCATATTACTGTGTTTAGTGATATTATGGAAGTTCTTTTGTAGAAGGATAAAATAGTTGAGGTCAATGCACTCAGTGTCCTATTGTTTTAAAACTAGAATTAAAATTTTCTGTTAAACTCAATTATTCATTTTTCATTCATTTCATTTTCTCATTTTCTCATGTATGTTTTGCATTTGGATGTAGGCCCTGGCATCTATTTAGATTCTATTTCATATTTTTCATTGTAATAACTGCAGTGAAATGGTTCAGTCTGTTGAAGATTCACAACTGAATAAAAAGCTAATATATTTTTAAGATATTGTTTATGAAATAGACAAAAACAACAACAAAAAAACCCCCTTCATTTGCAGAGTTTTATAAAAATCATTTGGAACTACCTCAAAAGTTTAAAGTGATCTTTCTCTGAAATTCATTTGCTTCATCCTCTCCAATTAGCATTCTTGCCACCCATCGCACATCCAACTGGTATTTGGGTATGGCAGTTTATTTGCACAGTTTTGCTCCTGCTTGGTCTCTCTCCCCTCAGACACATTCTGTCTCTTCCACATCCTTCAATCTCTCTCCGTTTCCCCTCTTCTTCCTTACCTCCTCCCCGTCCTTTCTCCTATTCCCCTTCTCTGTGATAAGATAGACTACTGTTCGGCTTGTGCCTCGACCTGCTGAATTTCAAATAGGCCCCTTTGACAAAAACCCAGAGCCATGGTCTCCCCTCCTTGCTCTCCCAGAATATTAACTAGTTCTGCAGCAGTGCCAACAATCCTAGACTCCTAAGCCCACCAAAGCACTACAGATCCATTTGTTGCATTAAGGAAATGAACACTGAAGCAGAGGAGGGGATCATCACTGTCAATACCTGTAGTTATACTTCAGGATGTGAGACTGCAACTGAGGCCATACTGTACATTCTTAGTTTATAACTGAATGCCTTTGAGACTGAACACAAATCTTAGCAATAAATAAATGAATAAATGTTGTGTAACAATAAATTAAATAGCTGTTGTATAGTGATCACCAATCTCTTTATTCTTTTCAAGAAGTAGGACAGACTACAGCAAAACCTCTGTTCTAATTTGATTGTCACAGTTAGCTATGCTGTTCTTCATAAAAACTCAAACTATACATTTAAGTTCTACTCGGAAGAGACCTGCTGCCCTCTTTCGGAACTCAACCTATCAGTCAAGACCCACTGAACCAGATCGCTGACAGTTTACCATATGACTGATTTTTAGGGGTTATTGAGTTTAACTCGTTTAAAGCTCCAAACATAGATGAACACAATATGAATATTTTACTCTAGTGCACTGTAATGAAAACGAATAAAGTTATTAAGCTCCTGGAAAATAAAGTGCAAAAATATTAACTGCTTTACTGAGATTGTGTAAACGTCTGTGGCATCATCAATGTCAGTGTATAAGCTGTCGGACATTAAATTTTGAATTTTTTTTTTAACAGAATATAATATAAAAAAGAATGTTTGGGGTAATTTAGATATGGGGTCATCTCAGAGTTTGCTCTGGAGAGCAGTCCTGGCTTTCTTGTTTGTAATACTCTGCAGTGTTTGTAATACATATAGCTGAATCATAGCTGAGCAGATGGTTTTGTATACTCAAGCAGTGTCTTCACGGTAAGTTGCCAACTAGTTTACACTGCCAGAAGCTTAAACAATTCTACCATTGTTTTCCTTTTCCAGCATAACTGAAAAAAAACCCCAAAAAACAAAAAGATGATAAGATGTGATATGTATAGCCAGCCAGTTGTAATTTGTCAAATAAATTCATTACAATTGCGTCATTGCCTGCTGTAGCTGTAGTGGTTAAGGTGGATGGAATCAGTTGATTGCCGACTTGAGGCAACATTTCAGGTCACTGTGCTTATCCTACTTGTTACATTACAAATGGCTAACCACATAAGACAGACATTATATAAATGCCAATATGGTTTTAGGCTATTAGCAGCACCATGCATGCAATACAAGCTGGGCTCTACTTTACTCTGGAGGACTGTAATGCTTCACTAATGTCAATTTTGATCATTATAGAAGAGTCTGAGTTGTAAAAAGTCACTAATGATAGGCAAGAGACTCAAAGACACTCAAATAAGTTCAAAAAGCTTATTACCTTGTTGATCCAGGTCTCAAACATTCGGTCGTTTTTCATTGTCAGGAATAAATCTGAGAGGAAGAAAAAGACAGAAGAAGGGAGGGTGCAAGTCATTAAGTGATACATTAATTTGTTTGGCAATTATAATCAAGTATGGAGCAGATGCGCTGATCAAATGTGCTGATCTACAACACAGAGAATCACATAACTGGAAATGTACACTATACTCTTGCAATAAGGCTTTTAACAGATATGGACAATGTTAACAAATCCTGAAAAAATTGAGAAGACCTCTATTGTAGCCAAAAAAAGTTCTCTTTTTCATTTTGTCTCTCAGCAGCTAAAATTGAAAACATGAAATTAAATCTACTCTTCAACACAATATATGACGCACAGGACTCAATACATGTTTATGCTCAACTTAATTAATTAAACCAAAATATACAGAAGAAGAAAAGTCTAAATATTTTAACATTCAACAGTTGACACAGAGGAATGATTAATATCTTTATTCATTTTTGTATATTTTTGACATTTCTTCCTCCAACTCTGATATAGAGAGGCACTGCTTGTTCAATATGCAGTTTAAGTAGGTTTCCTAAAGCAACAAAGATAAATTGGCTTCTTAAAACAGTATAAGTAAAAACAAGTAAGGAGAAGAAAAAGGGATAGTGGTGGAATCTCCTGCTCAAAGCAGATGGATTTTGCTCAGCTTCTGGAGTCTTCACCCCTGGTAATGCCTGTAGCTTGCTCTATTGGAATCCTATAACCTGCACTTGTACTCATATTACTTGCTCTTGAAGCTCAGGCTGCAGGCTGCACTTATAATGCAGTTTCTGCGTGCTTCTCTTTGAGAGGACGTTTACTTTCATTCCTGTGTGCTCTGGTTCTGCCCCAATAATTGGACATGAAATAAATATTGCCATTGATCTGCTTTGGGCCCTGCTATGTGTTGCTGTGCCCTGCATGGGCATATACAAATGGTACTGAAATAAGGGGAAAATTAATAAAGGAAAAACTGGAACAACAGGACAAACGGAGGTTGTGTGTGTAATGATAGAAAGCACTATAGAAATCCTATATCCATACACAGAAGAATTATCTAGTAATGTCATGGTCATCAAAGCCAACAAGTTCAAGATGCTACAATGTCACTCAATATGCATGACTATACATGACATTAAAAATACTGTTTTGAAAGAGATTTTCAGTCAAAGCTTTTTGACTGAAAAGTGATCCTCTGATACCATACCGATTAAAAAAGTCTTGTAACAAATACACATGGAAATGTAGTCCTAGATTTCATCTGTAGTCATTTCACAAGTGACAAGTAACTTTCTCTGGATGAGCTCAACTTCCCAAATACATTCTAGGAGCTCATGTGAGAAAGGATTTAGTTGGCTAGCATTCTTAAAATCTAGGTTTTAGTGCATATATGTATGTTTTGTGCTTTACACATGCTTCCCACTGTGGCAGGTGCTCCTAATTTGGTGGATTTGAATTTCCTGGCCCTCCTTCAAAATAATTCATCAGCTTCTTATGTCAGAGAGATACCAACTATTAACTATCAAGTTACCAACTATTAACATATAGAGAATATACTACGCCATCTGTGCTAAACACACATGGATTCATGGTTTTAATAGAACCTACGGTGTACTACAAATTATAGTCATATAACATTACATATCCAAAAATGTATCTGAGGCTCTGGTGCCTTTGTGTTTAATCACAGGGATGGTGGGCCACAGATGGTGGTTATTTATCTAAAACCAGCTACAGCTGTTGCAAAGTAATGCCACATTTAAGGTGCTCAAGCTGGTAAAACAGTTCAACTACAACTTTTAATCCTTGTGGACTTGCAGAAATGCTGCCCACGCGGACTCCAAACTTTTTAACAAATGCAAAGTACATAACAAATGTATGCATAGATTATGCATATGTGCAGACGCACAAACAAACACACAGCACTTTGCAGAGCGTGTTTATGCAGGTTTTCGTGTTACTATGTGTGTTTGGAGCCACACCGGGTGGTGTGTTGATGAGCTTGGTTAATCAGCCAATCAGGCCTCTTAAACAGAACCCAGCCGTGATTGGCTGATTAGATGCGATGGCGTTGTGTCAGTGAGAGAGGAATAGAGCAGCAGAGAGATGTTCATCTTGTAAACACTTAACATTCTCGCTGTGGGGGTTCTTCCTCTTTTTGCTCATCTTATTGCTTATCTTTTTTTCACCCATGTTCACCACTAACAGACTCATCTCCATTATTTTCTCTTGCTTTAGACTTTTACTAAATTCAGCCCAACTTAGAAGGTCACTGCACTTATTTTGGTTAGTCTGGTCTTCACCACTTTCATGCAGCATCTTGAGGGTGTAAACTGACAATTTAAACGTGGAAAGACCACTTGAGCACTCTTGAAACTTCACTCCGTTTCCTCCCTGGACACTACACTACAGGTGGCTCTGTTCTCAGATCTGTCCTAAGAAGGAAAGCAGTTTCACAGTCTGTCAAGGGGAATACAGACAGACTGAAAACAAAGTTCTGGTTTGTAAACTATGCAATATTGTAATCGCAATGTGATTCCTTTAAAATGATCTTTTTAAAAGTATTGTACTTCTCTGTTCCCCCTTCTCTAACTCACTTTCTTTGCAATAAAGTATTCCACAAATTCTCCAGAGAGAAGAGCTCCAAATAGCAATAGAAACATAAGTGCTGCCACCATCACTCACTTTAACATAGTTTTGCTGTTACAGGGACTTATAACTGGGCTTCTAAGGGTCTTTAATATAAAGATATAAAGAGGACTCCAACAAAAAAGAGGAACATAAACAAAAAACAGAACAGAACAGAAGAGTGGATCCTATGGGAAATTCCTCCGGGTATGGTATTTCATGTTTTGACCACTTATCACAATTTAATTTTGTTCTGAAATAATGTTTTTTCAAAGCATATCTTTATCATTCTTTTCTAGTTCACTGGATACTTTTTCAGTCATATTGAAAATTTAAACCACTGCCTATAAAAGCATTCCTTTTGATAATTTAAGTTAAACAAGAAGTATGTATTTACTGCCCTTGATCATTTATCATTTCCTTTGAGACCTCTGATACCTTAATGATGACCATGAGTCCAAACTACTTTAGCGAAGGATAACATGTATGCAGTAAAGTATGTATGAGTAAGAATTTATATATCAGTTTAAAAAGGTTCATAAATTTTAAACCAAAACACCATCCCATTGAATTAACCCAGTCATTTTTTGCTAGAATATAAACAGTTAAATTATTAAAAACTGAGGAAAGTCTTGTCAGTTTTCCAAAATGCAGAATCTTTGGACAGACAGCAGGGATCAAAAGGGATATGACTCAATAGGTCAAGTCTACTCCATTGTTTTAACATAAAAATCTGTTTTCCTTCCTATATTCAATATGAGAAAGACTTGCCGAAAATCTTTTTAGCTTCATTTTAGCAACGTTAGTAGGGCTAGAACGTGTGAAGGAAAAAGAAACGAAAGAAAACAAGCAAGGCAGTTTAAATGTAATACTAGTGTAAGGACCAAAAATGACAAAAAAAAGTATGGATCAAATAAGGATGTCGTTGGTTCTGCTGCTTTAATTTAATCTTTTTAATTTTAGAAAATGCCCACTGTGAATTTGACAGTGTTGTATGATAGCAATGGTAAATCAGCGTGACACCAGTTTAATGATACAAAGAAATCACTGAAGCAGCCGGCTTTATGGACTGTTTGATAGTCTTTTAGGAATAAGCATTAGTTATCTGATCACCAATCTCTTGTTGGGGGGTGGGCTCCTGCTCAGCACCAAATTCAAGCCACCCATGTTTGAAGTAGAGATTAAACAGCTGGATGAAATTTTTTACATTTTCAAATTTTTTCAACGTCAAGCAATGCTATGACAGGCAGATGTTCTCAATGAAGATGACACAAAACATTGAAACATTGACTGGGAGTTCACGGGCACTGTGGTTGTCCCAGTATCACGACAAGCCACCAGTAATCCTGTCAGTCCTGTGCATTTGGTGGTGACCAGTACATCCATCAAAGCCAGAGAATCCCATCAATCCACGGCCCAGTAGAAAAAGAAAATCAGGACAGCTGCTGTGTACTTGTAAGCCATCAGTAATGCCTCAGCTATAAGGAATGTGTAGCCTTCTGCTTAATATTAGGACTATACAAACAAAGTGATTAGCAAATGTTTCTGCATGTTGAGTTTAAATTGTAGTGAGGTGTATGTCGGTGTGACCTGCACTATTATATCGCTGAATCCCCAGGCAGAACCTCTTTTGATCAGTGCATAAACTAACCATATAATCTGTAAACACAATCTTCTTCATCAGATAGATGTTAGAAGACGTAATCTTACTCAGTTTTCTTTGTTCTCAAATACCCAGTACAATTTACCACGTTCTGTACAAAAGTATTCTCCCTGTTTTTTCCTTCTTCTCTCAATTACAGTTGATTTGTCTTCTCTTATGTTTTGCTATGTTTTCTATACTGAGGGTAACTGTTTTTTAGGACTTTATTGTGCATAATGCTCTATTCTTTTCATCCCATACAACTATAGACAAAAACAAACAAATACAAAAGAAACTAATCATGCGTCTGAGGCTGGAAATACCGACTGCTACATCACTTCATCCTTTAGCTCATTTTATTTGCTGAGTCACATTTAACAAACTAGAGGCACCAAATCCAACTTCAACAACATTATCTAGCTCCTTGCAGTATGAGCACATACACTCAATTAAAGCATAGGCTAATGGAGCTGTCATCCTCCACCACTTGGGAAAGATGCATAATTGAGGTATATAAATGTGTTTGTGTGTAGGAGGGTGGGATTGCGTAACAACAATAGGGATTCAGAGCTCTAACTGGTATGTCATGTTGTCGGATAATTAAAGACATGCTAACTGTGATAGCTGACGCGATGGATATACAAGGCATCAAAAACACTGGGCAGAGGGAGACAAAGCAAAACAGAAAGAAACTGATACCAAATGGTAAGGCCATCCTGTGCTTGAGATGCATCTGAAAAAGATGTTTACTTAATT